TTTTTTCTCATTTTAACATCTTTGTTCCATCATCATCATCATTATTCGCATCACTTTTTTTGTTCTCTCCTATTGTCTATAATTGAAACAAAAAAAAATTATCAAGTTGGCATCATCATCATCATCATCACCAATGGTGTGTATATTACATACACACCATACACAATATCCAATGTCATTGTCAGGTGAGGCACACACACACACATCACCAAAATGTTCAAGTGCAAATGTGTTAGATTGTTTTGTAGTGTGTTTGAAAATGATCCAACAAGGCCAAATAACCCTATCGTTTCTATTTTTTTTTTTTTGTAGGTGTGTGTGTGTGTGTTTGTGTGTGTGCATTATATTTTGTTATCCACGATCGTTAATTTTCATGTCAATTTTGATATGCGATATAATAAACCTTTCATAAATGTGTTGTATGTGTGTGAACATCATCAACATTAATAGAATTTTCATCTTTTAGAATTTATTTTTTTTCAAAATTTAATTTGATTGCCATCTTCATCATCATCATCTGAATGATCAATTATGATCCGTTCTTGATGATGATGAGGATGATGATGAAGATGATGCAAATGATAATGATGATGATGATGATGATGATGGTGATCGCTATAGCTGAAAATGAAAAGAAAAAAAAATTTTTTTTTTTCCATTTTCATTTTTTTTTATTTGTTTGAATAGCCTTGAGGAACTACATACACAAACATTATTTTTTATTCTTTCTTTTTTTCTTTCTTTTTTTTGGCCGTTGGATTTATTCACAAATTTAATTGGACTTTTCTATTCATATTCTCTAGCTATCACTTTCTCATTTTTTTTTTCTTCTTCTCAATTCAATTTGATTGGCTATTGATTTGTTTGTTTCGCGACTTTCACATCTGAATTGAATTAACCATACAAGCATACACATTTAGATGTAAAGTTAGATACAGAGGACTATCATATATGATATATATAGACAACCAACCAACCAACCAACCAAGTAACCGATCAATTGAATTGTGAAAAAAAAGGATTGCTTCCACCATTTATTGTCATTGGATTGAAATTTTGAAATTTTTTGTTGTTGTTGTTGTTGAGAAGAAATGAATTGAATAGGATGAAAAAAAAAATCGATGCCAAAGTTTTGTTGTCGATGCATTGTGTTTAGATTTCATAAACATTGGCCAAAAAAAAATAAGGAAAAGAATTCTTATGTTGTTGTCGATAATATCGTGCAACAAATTTCACATGATCGATAATCAATCGATAAATGTCATTATAAATATCTATCTATCTATGGGTTTTTTCAAAAAAAAAAAAAAAAAAAAACAGATTCACAATGCAAATGTTGACAGCGAAGAAAAGTAATAAAAATCAAAAATCACAAAAAAAGTTATTCACATAATTAATGGTGATGATACTTTTTTCATCAATACCTTGACCACAACAAATTTTTGAATTGAATTATACTAATAGAATGGTAATGTGATATTTTTGTATTCAAATGCTATTAGTTAGTTCGTGATGATGGTCAAATGATTACCGAAAAAAAAATTTTTTGATTAGCTCATATTGTGTGTGTATGTGTGTATATATTGCATTTTTGTTGTTTGTGATTTATTGACTTGGCTTCTTGTGATTGTTATTTTTTATTTTATTTTTATTTTTCTTTCATTCAATGTTCGATCTATTCAAAGATTTGGTTATGTTTATAATAATAATTATTATTATTATTGATCCATCTTGTGATCCATCCGATTGTGTGTTTGTGTGGCTTTATTTGCTTGCTGTCCATGATCGTGACAATTCACCTTCACTTTCCTTTTCCTAATGTTGTTATTGTTGTCTGTTGTATGGTGCAATCATCATCATCATCATCATCATTATTAATATAAAATATCAATAGCAATGATGATCATCATTGATTATAATAATAAATGAATGATGATGATCAGTGTGTATGGAAATTATTATTAATTTTTTTTTGTTCATTTTCAAATTTATTCATGTTTTTTTTATGCACAAAAAAAAACAGAGAATAAAATTTCCGATATTCAAATACAAATACAAATACAAATCGATGAATTGAAATTGATTTTGAATTCAAACGATTTAACGAAATGAATAATGAATATATGAATTTTTCTTTCTCTTTCCTAAAAAATTGAAAATTTTTTTCTAATGATTTTTTGGCCAATATTTCCTTTTTTTTTGTTTTTCCTCAAGACAGAATTTCATTTCCGTAAATTTCATTTCCATTTCAGTTTTCTTTTCTGTTTTTCTTTTGTACACGTCTCTATAGAATTTTCATTTTAAACGTTTTTATTTTCATTTTCATTTCTGTTTTTTTATGTAGATTCTTTGATGATCATCATGTGTGTAAGTGTGTGTGTGTATACGGTGTATCGATGATAGAATGATTGTGTGTTGTTAGTGATAATAATAAAGATTTTTTCTAGCAAAAAAAAATAAAAAAATAAAAAACATTTCAAGAGATGGTTTTGAATGAATGAATGAATGATTATCATGATCATGATGGATGGATGAACGTGAATATAATACATTATTATAATATTGTCGTTGACAATGGCCACAATTCATCAACTTTAGTTGGTGAATTTGAATTTTTTTCAAACTTGAAATCCAATCCATATACCTGTATATATGAGATGTGTAGTAAAATAAACATAATATAATACGGTAAGTATGATGGCATGAAAATAATATTTTATCTGATATTTTAGGGTTATTTGGTGGCCTTGATTTTTTTTTTTTTTTTGAAGAAGAAAAAGATTCACACGCGCGCACACACACAAACAACGTATTTGTTATTTCATTGTTTTTTTGTATGTATATTACAACAATATTGCAAGTTATCAATGTTTCATATACGTAAAAAAAAAATTTCATTTCATTCATATTGTACCAGGTGTAATAATTATTGTTATAAAATCAGAAAAAAAATGAATAATGCAATGAAAACTCAATATAATCAATTTTTTTTTGTTTCATTTCTGTTCAACTAGAAAATGACAAATTGTAATGTATCGTTTTGAATGAATGAATGAATGATTGATCAGTGCGATTGGAAATAAATGTTATTTCCATTCGTTACTATTGATGTGATTATATCTTATCCAAAAATGAATCGATTCCAAATGTAATGTGAATCTTTATTTCATTCTTCTCGATCCATCACCATCATCGTATTTTTTTTTTTTTTTTTTTTGTTCATTTTCGATAACAACAAAATTCGATATATGTCAAAACATTTGTTCATTCATTCAATTTCAATGTATAATGTATCGAATTTTTTTTTTCATTTTTTCTTTGCAAATTTTTTTTTCTCCATACACATACATGATCCTTGTTGATGAAGTTATGATGATCTTCTTATGATGTTTTTGTGAATTTGTACAAAATAAAGAATTTATAAATAGAATTGTAAATCATAATCCGAAAACAATTTCGATTGATTGATCTTATTCACAGTTGTTTTTACTGGATGAATGACGCAAATAATAATAAAGTGTATAGAAATCAAAATTTAGATCATCAAATTCAAAAATGTCAACAATCGGTCGTCAGCAAAATGCAAATTCAGAAATACGGAAAAAAAACAAACAAACAAACAATTTTTCCATGTCCATGTGATTTTCCATTCATTAGAGCTAATCGATCATTTATATATTTACATATTTCATGTGTAAACGACAACAACAACTGATTTTATTAATTCAATCGATAAATGGATCAAGATATACGTGAATATTTTCATGAAGAAAAAAAAAATAGTAAGACATGTGACATTGCATGAAAAATTTCAGAAAATCCTTGTTATATACACATTTACATACAATATTCCCACGATATATTAACATTGAAACATGAAAACAAAATTGCAAACATAATTGACTTGGAATTGGTCCGATGATGATCTGAATTTGTAATTAATTAATCAATCAATTAATAATTAGTTTAGTTGTTTTTTTTCCTGAAAAAAAAATATTTTCATTTTGTTTGTAATAATAAACAGTGCACCAATGTAAAATTTGAACAAGAATTAATGAAAGAAAAAAAAAACACTTAAGTTGACAAAAGTAAAAGAAAAAAGAAGGAGGAGATGATGATGGTGGTGGTGGTGGTGGTGGTGTATTGATGATCACTTCAGTATATGCAATATTTGTTTGTGATATTTTCGAATGATAATTCAAAATAATAGTTGACGTCATCGTCTTCATTACATACACACACACACACACATTTGATGATTTTCTTTTTGGTTTTTTTTTTGAATACCTTCCTACCTACCTGTCTTTCATGGTATGTGTGTGTCTACATTTACCTTTTTGTATAATATTCATCATACGTTAATTCGGTTCCAAGGATGATTTTTTGTTTTGTTTTCACTGTTGTTTTGGTCATAATAGATTTTTTTTTTTGGTTGATCGATTGTAAATGTTGTTGTTGTTGTTTTGTCTTTGTTAAAAACATAATTCATTCAATGATTTGATCATCATTTATAATCGAATCTTCAATCGATATACACGCATACACACACACACAAACACATTCTCAATACAATTGATTCAACGAAAAAAAAATCAAACATTCTCATCAACAGAATTTTCATCAATCATATATCCATTGAATTGTTTTTGATTGAATATTTTATCAATCATTATTGCATGAGCATCAAAATGAATCATTGCCGTTTCCATGATAAGAGAAAATTTTGAAAAACAAATCCAAATCCAATCCAATCAACCATAAACAAGTTTAATATTTTTTTTTGTTCATTTTTTTCTGCCCATTATTGTTGCCATTATAATTGCTGCTGTTGTTATTTAATTTGTGATAATTTCTTTTTTTTTAGTTTTGTTGGCCAATCTTTTCGTGATTTTATTTTCATTCAGATAAATTCAATTTTTTTTTTGGTTATAAAATGTGAAATATAAAAAACAACCACAACAACAACAACAACAAGTCATTGAATTTCATGAAAAAAAAATTCCATTAATTTTCATAATTATATCAGAATTGAAATTATTCAATATTTTCTCATATATCAACAACAATGATCAATGAACGTCATTATCGAATTTTGGCCACAAGCAAATTGCATTGCCGCCATGTTTGCTTATCATCATCATCATCATCATCATCTTCGTCATCATGGTACACATTATCAATGATCATGGCCACCATCATCATCCTTATTATCATGATGGCCAATGTCAATGATGGCCAAACGACCACCGCACAAGATCAATCAATTTGTCAAACATATTTTGCTAAATACACAAAATCACATACAGCATGTGTAAAACCAAATAAAAATTGTCAAATAAAAGAGGTAAGTGTAGTTAATTCTGGAAAATAAATTATTCCTTGAATTTTCAATGAAACAAAAAAAAAAAATATTGGACAAACGATATGAAATCGGTCAGTGTAAAATATCAAATCTGATTGAATCTATTGATATTCAGGAAAAAAAACCAAGCAAACACATAATATGCAAACAAATTGTGATATGAATAACAAGCGACAAGAAAAAAAACTGATACTGATTATTCTTTATTTTCAAGGTTTGTCCAACTTTACATAGAGAAAGTGAAACCAGTGAAAAAAAAACGTCTTCATTCGTCATTATCACAACAAACAAACAAACAAAAAAATTGTCGCGAAAAACAAATAAAAGCAAAATTATGTCACTTGTTTGAGTTGGTTTGACATATGATGAATACTTTTAACATATTCATAAGAAAAAAAAACTAGAAGAAAAAACAGATCATTACGACAACTCCATTTTTTTATACATAAAATTTATCAATCAATTTAGCTTGAATAACTAACCAACCAACCGATGATCACAAACGACAACTATAGAATGAGAGAATATTAATGAGTAAAATGAAAATGTCGTCGTTTTTCCATTATAACACACACACAGAAAGATGATAAAAAAGCGATGAAAGAATTTCAATACAAACATCAAAATGAAAGAGAGAGAGTGGGAAAAACAGTCTAGTCGTGTCTTGTTTCAACATAGGAACGAAAAAAATAAAAAAAATGCATAAGTAGAGAATTTTTTTTCCAGTTAAACACAGAATCTAGTCTAGATATTTATTTTCTGTTAACCTGAAATCTTGTTATTTCAAGATTATTTCTTGTTTTGTTGAATTTTTCCATTGAAAATAAAAACAAAATCCTGATTCAATAATAATAAGTTATCATCATCTTCATCATCATTATTATTGCCCGTTTTTTTAGATAGGGAAAAAACCGGTGGTTTTGAAAAAAAAGAGAGAAAACCAAGTTCAATTCAATCGATCGATTCGGTTTGAGGCCAATTGTTTCTCCATTGTCTATTTTTTTTGGCAATCTCTCTCTCTCTCTCTCTCATAGAATAAGATCTAGTAGCAAATTTCAATTTTCGATTTTTCAATTTTAATGTTGATATAATGATCGATCGATGTATCAATTGATCGATCATCGATCAACAATGTTTAACGCGTATTAATCTGTTTTTGTTTTTTTTTTATTTAGTTTATATATTTATTTGACAATTTATTTTTTGAAATTTATTGAAAACTATCCCCATTTTTTTTGTTGTTGTTGTTGTTGACCTTTCAAATCCATACACAATAGCAAGGATTGGATAAAAAACAACGACAATTAATATTGGATATACATAATTATTACCGTAATCTAATTGCAAGCGGTAATGAAAGTACTCTTGGTTTTCCATCCGCTGCCAATATGCTTACATTAGAATGGGATGATGAATTAGCCTATGTAGCACAGAAACATGCAAATCAATGTCGTTTTGAACATGATTGTTATGATTGTCGCCGTACAGGTATGTTGATTTTTTTGTTCAAAATTTTTCAAACATTAATAAATCTGCAAAAATCATCATTTTTTTCAATTTAAAAAAAAGAACGATACCCTGTTGTTGGCCAAAATCTTTATATATATCGTACAACAAGATCAAAAGCAGATCCAGATTGGCGTAAAGTAATCCGTGAATGGTATGAAGAGATTAAGATTGCACCACCACAAGTGGCATTCAGTTTTGATCTATTTCAATTGAATATTGGACATTTTACACAAATTGCATGGGCTGAAACCAATCGAATTGGTTGTGGTTTTTCAACATATTTAGATTATGAAAATCGTGGTTCAATATTTAAAACTGTTCAACTTTATACATGTAATTATGCACCTGGTGGTAATTATTTGGGTGAAAAAATGTATGAAAATGGTACACCATTAAGTAAATGTCCACCACAGTATGGAAAATCGAAAAATTTTCAAGCACTTTGTGAATTCATCACCAAATGGGAATCGAATATTGATGCATTTGCTTTGGTCGATAATCGAATCGATACAAATCTATTATCAGCAACGCCAATTGACAACAATCCATCAACATCACTTTCCATCATTAATAATAATAATAATAATAATCAATATTCTACCGTATATAATCGAATTGAATCAACAACGGCTACATCGACAACAACAACAACAACAACACAACGAACGACAGTAAATACACCAAAATCTAGAACAACATCAACAAGAAGAAACGGTAGTAATAGACGTAAAAATACATCAAATAGAAATGGAAATCGTAATCGTTCAGGTAGTAGTCGTACAGCAAATAATCGAAATAATTCCACACGTCGTAATAGCTCGTCATCCAATAATTTTAATGATAAACAATGGAATTCACGATTGAATAATTGGAAAAATAATTCAACAACATCAACGACGACGACAACGACAACGACATCACCATCAACGACATCGCCATCAACATCAACAGCATCATGGAAATGGAATCAATCATCATATGATTGGAAAAAATGGCTAACAAATTTCACTACATTCACTAATTGGACCAAATGGGAATCAAAACCACAACGTTCTATTGTTACAAGTGCTAATATTGGTACCACTGGGCAAGTCGATCCATCCATTAGGATTGTTACACCGAGACGATCCACAACTCAAGGTTCCAATAATAATAATAATAATAATAATAATAATGGCAATCAAAATAACAATGTTCCATGGCGTTTGACCAACATTACTTGGTGGACAAATTGGACGACAACAACAAATGCTAAACCAAAATCAACAAATCGTATAACAACACGGCTGCCAACATATACCTGGTCATTATCATTAGGGTAATATTTTTATTATTATTATATTATTGAAAATGACAGTAATCTAATCAAAATAATTTCATGTTTTTTTTTTTAAATTTCTTCAGATTACAACGTGAAAATGAATCTATCGCACCTAATTCATGGTCCAGATCAATAGATTTGACGCCCAATCGTGCCAATAGTGCATTATATTATCGTTACAACAATAGATATAATAATAATTACTATTGAACAAGACAAGACAAGAAAAATAAATCGAAAAAAAACAATCAGAAAATTACACACACACACACACACACACACACGCCAAAATAAGCTGATGATGCACACACACATAAAATTAAGCGTGTTATTTTGCCATTTTCGTGTTGATTTTTTATTATTATTATTATTATTATTATTAAAAAATTCAATTTCGAATTCATTTTTTTTTTGTATTGAAGGAATAAAATTTTTTCACATGAAAATATTGTGTCCATTCAAATTGTGAATAATACGATGCCATCTTTTGGTAGAAAATAAAATTAATTGATGAATTAAATATACAAAAAAAAATTGTTACATCAATGCCGATTGTTGTTGTTGTTGTTTTTGTTCACGAAGCATTTTCAAATCATTTTGATTAATTAATTCAACATAATTGAGACAATAATCAATTAGACCTTTAAGTTCACGACGTAAACGCCTTAATTCATCATCATCATCATCGATTTCTTCAATCAATAAACGTAAAATTTTGATTAAACGAATTTTTTCCATTATCAATATAGGCAATTGTTCATTTTGAATAGAATGTTTATAAAAGCTAGATATTATCTGTCTACAATAAATGACAGCACGATCATTATGGCCCATTTTTACATAACAATTAATCATTTGTCTTTTCAATGATAACCAAAATGCATTTAAACAATACAATGTATTGGTAAAAATAACATCAGCTTTATAGAATGATATAATGGCTGCAACATAATCATCATCATCATTACGATCGACAGCTAATTGATAGAAATGTAAACCAGCTTTCTGATATTGGATACCACGTAAAATTTCCTGTTTAATTGGCTCAATATCATCATAACGATGGCCATTTTGACAGATCAAAAAATATTTTTTTTCTTTCGTGGTGTCTAAACAATCAATAAACGATGGTTTAAAACAAGTTGGACAAAGAATGGCACTATCATAGTTTTCACGTTTTTCCATACAAGCCATACAATGACAGTGGAAAAAATATTGTTCATGTAATAATTTTTGCCGTTGATAAACACATGTTGTTTTATATGTTGGACCATATGAGAAAAAAATTTCTTTATTTTTTGATATCTTTCTTATGGTCTTGAATATTAATTCTGATCCTTTATTATATATTGGAACAATATCTGGATCACAGCTATGATTGAATAATGCTAGATTCGGATAAAGACCAATACCGATTGGTGATTCAATACAATTATCAATATTTTCCAGATCTAAATTCTGATCAAAAATTGTAATTAAATTTGTTGACATTTGTTGTAAATGATGAATTAATAATTTTAAAATATCAATCGATGAATAAAAACAATCACCATCATCATCAAACATTTTATAGCGTTTAAATACATGTTGCAAAAAGAATGCCGTCAATAAAAAACATGTTTTTGAATCGCTATCATGTTTATCAGCATGTGTTAAAAGTCGAACAATCGATCCATAATTACCATCTAATGATTGTTGTAAATTTGTTTCATCAATAATATCCGTTGTTTGTTTTTTAGCCAATTCAATGAATGAATTAAATGATCGACATACTAATCGAACAACGATATATGCGATACCAATTTCAGATTCCAATGGAATCAATGAATGATTACATTCACGTTGATGAAATGATCGATATGCTTCATCACGACATTTTCGTGAACAAAAAATAAATTTACTACATGACGTACATGGAACAAAATGATTATATTCTTTTTCAAAGTCTGACAATTCTTCAGGTTTCCTATCATTCGTATCTTCGTCTTCTTCCATTTTTTCTTCCGAATCGTTAAATATCGGATTACAAAGTCGACGTAAACAATTACCACAATATGAATCAGTTGTATGGTCAAAAAAATGACAAACAAATGGTTTTTCTTTGAAAATTAATTCACCTTCATCAATATTTTCTTGAGCTGTATAACCACGTTTTGTTTGAGCATCGATCCATGTTATTGCCAGTTTGTTTGATGCACCACGAATTATAGGATGAGGACTGTGAATTTTTAAATCCATCAAATTCATTGATTTTGTCTTATCATTGTCATTAGATTTTCGATTAGACAATTCTTCACATTTTTTATTCAAAATTGAATCCATCAATGTCAACAATTTTTCCATTTGTGTTCGTTCTTTTTCATTAAGAATATCCATTATTGATCGACAATCATTTATAATGTTGGACAGCATGTTTAAATCTTCCCATTGATCATTTATATTGACGGTTGCTTGAGCCATTCGTAAATAGAATTTAATCATTGAACTTTTTTCTTGATTATTATTATTAAAATTGTTGGCCAAAATTTCACGAATGTCCATAATACAATCATGATATTGTTTTAGCTGATAGAATACAATTGATCGTTTATCATAGAGTTGTATGAGCAAATTATCATCACTATTTACACAACAAAAACGAATAGAATTCGATATTAATTGCAATGATTCGGACCATTTTTGTTCAGCCATTTTAGTGGTTATATTGTTAAAAAATTCCAATGCTCTTTCATGATTTTTATACAAATCATTGGCTATATTTACATTTTCAAAAAAATATTCATCAAAATATTTGGACAATACCATTTTAAATTCATTATTTTCATTCAATTCATTCAGAATATTATCTTCATTATTTGTTTTTTGTTGTCGTTGTTCATCAATCCAATCGATTAGAAATTTAGTTTGATCATTACATGCAAGAAATGCAACAATAGATTCAACAAATGTGGCAAATTGTTTCCAGGATTTTTCATCTTTTTGATTAATAATAGAATGATGATGAAAATTCATAAAATCCATTTTTGAAGCCTTTGTGAATAGAAACAAACAAACAAAAAAGATTAGTGATACAAGAAAAGATATTTTATACACTCACTAATTATTATTTTCAAACCGCATGGCATCATACATGAATTCATTCAGTTTTTTGTATGCAAAAAATTCATGCGCACACACACACAACACATCCACATAACGTACGTTATGAATATATCATTATTCCAGATTCTAGAATTATGACGTTAGATGTCGTTAAAATCAATACATCAATGCAAAAGCGCATGTTGTTTACATTTCGTTGAAGAAAATTGAAATCAAAAATTTGTTATTATAAATTCAAAATTCATTATAAATAAATTAATTGATCATATATATATATATATATATATTTAATCATCATTTTCAAATTGGTAAGTTATGAATAAAATGTTTATTGTCATTTTTTTTTCATGAGGTTCATTCATCAGAAGGTGATCATTTGGTTCTTTTAGCAACATTCCATAAATCGAAACATTTCAGAGGTATTTATAAATGTTATCACAAAAATCCGATTCATATTTCAATTTGATATATTTTTTTTCAGTTTATTCAATGAATTTCAAAAAATGGACCCACAAATTTCTATACATATCATTGATCTTTTAAATAAGTTGAAAAATTATTATGAAAAAAATCCCAAGAAGAAAAATGCCTTTCAACGATCTGTGACAATATTATCATTTGTTTCTAGTTTTCATCAACAAATTCAAAAATTGACAATCAATCATGAAGTATTGTTTCCATTTGAAGAAAATGATTATGAAAATGCTGTCATTGAAATGAAAAAAACTTATCTAAATGACAAACAAAAACTCGGTGAATTTGCTCCCGTTCATATTGATTTGAGTTTTGTGTTTAGTAAAGAAATTATTAAATATTCATCAGATTGTCAATTTATGTTGAATATCATTCTGGACAAATCATTGCCCGATACATTACCATCTATCACTGTCACATCAATGCTTCCAGCCAATAAATGTCGTATTGATCGATTGAATCGAATTTTCGAGCTGTTTTGTGAAAAATATCATGAAAATCATGATTTTTTATTCAATCTAATGTTTCATATGAATCTATTCGTAAAATATCTATTTCAAATTAACGCTGATGATATGATTTTTCGTTTAAACGAAACAGCCAAGTTAATTTTGGAACTAGTAACAAAGCCCATTGATCCATTGCCTAAAGATGACTATTATTGGAGTATGCAACAAATTCTTGAAAAGGAACGTCCATTAAATGAACAAATAATAAATGATGAATTGAAAAAAATCAACAACGATAAAATGGTGGCTGTAGAATTAGATGAAAACACTATACGATCTGCCATTGGTGATTCTTCCATTGTTCCTCCACTGAAATCAACTGAATTTGATTATACTGTCTATTCGGGCAAAACGATGATGTCTTGTCGTAAAAATGCAGAAATAGATCTAATACCGATGAACAGTAGATATTTTTTCTATAAATTCGGAGACCTTCTTTTCCACTCCGTATTTTACGAACATATTGGATATGATAAAAAGCAAGGTGAACAATATCGATATTCACAATTTGAATATGATTTTAGTTTGTTAGCCCGTCGTCTTCGTGATCTTTATCCAGAATTTCAGTCAAACATGGAATACATTCTTAAAAAAATTCAAGAAATAATCGAAGATAAAATCTACAATATAATTAATCGAAAAAGATTTTTTAGCGATTATCATCATATTGAATCAAAATGGTTAAAATCGGACAAATCCACAGAGGAAAAAGTTATGCCCACAAAATTGTCAATTAGGATTGCAAAAGAAAATTTACCCAAAAAAGAACAAAATATGGCTTCCCTTGGTCAAATTTGTTGGCTTGAGTGTTTTTTAGATGATTCGATTTGCATTGAAGATAGTAAAATATCAAGAATTGTAATTTCAATGGTGGAATCACTCAACTTGTTACATGAAAACAATATGTTTTATGGTCATTTTGATCGAGAGAAAATTTACATTGGACAACATGGCGATCTAAAACTTTATGATGCATTCTTAGAAACATTTATTACGAACTTGATTCCAATCATTGTACGTTCGTTAATCGGTGATCATGAGCGTGGAATCAGAAAAATAGATCTCGATGAATTTTGTGAAAATTTTCATATGTCTCACATATATGCAAATGAAATTTTCAACTTTGGTGCTTTTGTACTGGCAATCCATACTGATTTCGATATAAATCCATTGCCACCAACTATTGACCATGATATTGACAATGAAAATAAGATCAGATCGAAAAAAAATTTAAAGCTTATACCTATGACAAGAGATCCAGATTTTAAATCTTTGCTCAATTTAATTTTACTCTGTATGGCTTCTGATCATAACAAACGACCAACAATCAAAGGTCTTTTCATGAATGATTATATTAAAAAATGTATAAAGGAAGAATTCATTATTCCCAATGTTAATCGAAAAAATAATCAAAATTTGAATCCTTTTTTGTCGATTGATATTGATCAAGCAGCTACTTCACGGCTTAAATCTGAGTTCATTGTTCATGAATCCATCGGTCAAGGTAATATTATTTCAATCTATCAATGTTTAATAATATCTCTTTTTTTCTGCTCGATTTTTTCCCACATTAGGAGGTTTTGGTTTTGTCTTGCGGGCTTTGAATAAACTTGATGATTCAACTTATGCTATAAAAATAGTAAAATTTCGTGAAAATCAAGCCAAACATGTAATGAACGAAGTACATCATCTTTCTCGATTAAATCATCCAAATGTAGTACGATATTATTCATCGTGGATAGATGATACTAAATTCGAAGATTTTGAAAATGATTTAAACTTGTCTTGTTTGGATGATCAATCCGATGATTCGATTATAACAATTGATTCGCCATCAAATAAAATGATTCCTAAGAAAGTTCTATGTATCCAGATGGAACTATGCTCATCAACAACTTTAAACAATTTGATCAAATCTAATAAGATTCAAAAAGAAACAAATTTACGATCAAAAATCTTTAAACAAATTTGTGATGCTATTCAATATATACATTGTCTGGGAATCGTGCATCGTGATCTCAAACCATCCAACATTTTTTTCGATGGCGAATATAATGTAAAAGTTGGTGATTTTGGACTCGCTAAACTTGATTTGGTCCCTGTCAGCACTAACAATGAAAAATCTACGCCACAACAATGTTCACGTAATTCATCGTCATATAATTTAGGCACATATTTATACATGGCTCCAGAATCTCGTAACTTAGGTGCTTATAAACCAGATTTTAAAATAGACATTTTTGCACTTGGTCTGATCTATTTTGAAATGTGTTATTTCATGAAGACAGATTCTGAACGTATTCGACTTTTAAACAAATTTCAAAATCGAACATGTGAAATTCTGAAAACTGTAGTGAAAAATATCGATCCAAATGATTGGAATCTAATTAAATTAATGACATCGTTTGATCCGATCAAACGACCTACTGCTAAAGAATTGATTGAAATAATGCAAGATTTAAAGTTTTTAATGACATCGATCACGAATAAGAATTATTCCGTGTTGGATAACCTCGATTCTACACGATATCGAGAATTAATATCGAAAATCTTCGAATCGAATAATAGAACTCAAGAAGATATAGTTTATGATTTTAGAGCTAATATTAATCCACGCAATGTTTGGTCAGAAGACGAATTCAATTATAAACTTGTGTTCCTGAATTTTGCCAAATGGACGCTTGAATTGCATTCATTGTTATTTGGTGCTGTTCAAATGCCAATACCAATTGTAATGGCGAAAAATTTTTTGCAAAATCAACCCGGTGACCGAAGTGTTTCTTTGATTGACCGAAAAGGAACACACATTGTTTTGCCTGATCATCATCGTGGTATTTTGGCTCGTTATTTGGCTTCCAATCCTCACATAACATTATTGCGTCGTTTTTGTATTGAAAAAAGTTTCGTTCGTGATATTCAATCTGTCAATTGTTTCTCTCATTGCAATGAATCAACTTTAGATTTAATATTTCCTGACACTTGTCAATCTTCATGGATTTTACCTTATGTTGAAATTATTGGATTTGCTCTGCAAATATTGCCCACCTTTTTGCCAAAATTTAGTCATCATTCATCAAGAAATTCTTGTTCCATAAAGCCTTACGTTGATATCGTTGTATCGAAAGATTTGGTTTTGAAATACGACCATTCATCATATAAATTTCAAATTCATCTCACTAATCTAAACATTTTTTCCATGATATTTGAACAAATGGAATTGCCACAAGATAATTTTACCTCATTGATTCATCTATTATCCCATTCTCATGATTTACGTGCTAATAAGACAGAATTCACAATTGGTATCAATACTATGTTTCCGCAGATCAATTCAAGCCAATCGGAAATACTTTTTGATTTGTTCAATCTATGTGAAACGAGTGCCATAAATTTATACAACAAAATTCGCCTTATCTTTATTAAATATTCGATCGGTGATGAGAGTTCTTTATCAACATTGGAAAATCGAGTGAAACCACATATTATCGAAATGGAAACTATTCAACTTCTTTCTCGTACTTATTTTTGTGATAAAATTGATATGGAATTTAATGATTTGTTTGAATTCAAATTCAGTTTGTTATATTTATCATCTGATTCTTATTATTATAACAACATTGTTATTAATATATTGTTGGCAAGCGATGGTCAATCTTCGAAATTGATTTCAACTGGTGGACAATATGATAATCTAATTAATAGTTTTCGATTACATATGAAGATGCAAAATATGAAACGTTTATATGCAGTTGGAATTTCTATCAAATTTGATCTACTAATTGAATGTATGAAGCTTTCTATTCTTTCACAATTGAATACTCCATTCGATTTTGATCATTCATATAATCAAATGCTCAATTATCGATTACAGAAAATTGTTGCAAATTCATGCACTGGATCTCGTTTCAGTATAACTGATATCATTGTGATTCCATATATTGTCCAATCTAATCAGACCAACTCAAACGAATTGAAATATCCATTAGATAAAGTTTGTAAATTCATTCATAAACTTCGTAATGATGGTTATTCTACGTCAGTTGTGGCTCATACAATTGTAATGAATTTTGATGAAAAAATGGTTGCCAAATCCAATTATTTCTCTGACATTTATGAAAATGCCAAATATCAGGCCATCCAATTGATTGTTGTTATGCAGATTAATGATGATGGATCGGAAATTATTTATTGGCTAAACAAAATCGAAAACCGACTTATTATAGGTAGAAATGTTTTCCAAATCAAATGCCTAACGTTGGAGTCAACTATTGGCAAAATATCTGAACTATTAACCTACGATCAAATCTCGGCTGAGCGATATGTTGGAATATCGGAAAAACCATCACAAAAACAAACTAATCAAAGTATTACAACGAATAAAACTTCACGAAATATCCAACAAACATATCTGTCGTCTCAACCGGAATCAATAGCTGATGATCGACGTCGTCATAACATTTTGCATACAGAATTACAAAAAATATCTTCAAATCTATCATTAGCTTCACAAATTGAATTCATAACAAACGGAACTGATAGACGCCGTCATTGGACCAGTTTGAATGCCGAAATTCAAAAGCTTGGAACGATACTGAATTTGTCCAATCCAAATCTGAAAATTTTGGCTGTTGAATTTCCCTTCAGTACAGTGAAAAAAATTGCCAAACTTATCGATATCGATAACTTAAATAGCCGAACAGTCGATGTAATCATGAATCAGAATATTATTAATATTAAACAATCGCTTAAAGAATCGTATCGTTTGTTTAGTGATTCAATCGATAAAACAATCAAAGCAATTTGTAATTTTTTCTCAAAAAATACATCTCGTTCCGGTGGTGGTGGTGGTGGTGGCAATAATATGAATGGAGCAATCATAATTCTAATCACTTTCAGCGATCGTTATCAATATCAATTGATTAACTCGAATTGAAATTTGAGGAAATTTTTTGTTCATTTTTTTTTTGGTTGCCTTGAATTCTTTTATTTCGAATTTTTTTTCTTTTTAGTCATTTGATTTGCAATGTTTCTTCTACATAATAATATTAATGATAATACAATACATACATATACCACTACTATTATAACCATTTTGAAATTTTTTTTCTTTTCAAAAACAATGATATTTATTACAAATGATAGACACACCCACACACACACACATTTTGAGCTTTAATAATTGTGACATATTTGATTTTTTTTGTATTAAAATTCTTTTATTTTAAGAAAAAAATAAATCGATTAATTTTTTGATTTGATTGAATAAAGTTGACACGAATTTTTTTTTGAATATTAAACATTTAAAGATGTGTCGCCTATCCCTTTGCACAGTGCAGGGTTAAACTTGACGTTTGTTTTTTTATTTTTTAAAAATTTCTGCTCAGCAATGATGAAAATGAGAAAGAATGATTTGAACTTGAAACTAATATAGCGTTTAATTTTCTGTCTGTGGTCGGTTGTTTTTTTTCTCTCTCGATATATCATATATATTGGCATGAAGCATAGGATTTTCTTATCATTTCAATTCACCACAACTTGTCAACTTCATTTAATTTCAATATTTATGTTTTTTTTTTAATTTCATTCGAGTAACAATTCAATAATAATATCATCATCATCAATATATAATTACCAAAATGGCAACATATATACCATCATCAATCAATCGAACACCGGCTAGATTAAATCGTACAATAATGAAAAATGCAACACCGAATCCATCACGTTCGTTGGTGAAATTTAATCGAACAACAATAGCAACACCTTCATTATCACGTGATGAATCGCAAACATTGTTGAATTTTTCGCTTGAAGATGCATTCGATTATATTGAATCTTTTATAGTTGATGCTGGAATCGATTTTAATGTTTTTCAATTTAGTCAGCGTCCAATATTTGCGTCATTTGTTCGATTAGTTGCAGCATGTTTTGTTTCTATCGGTGACAAATCAATGAATTTTGATCAACGAACTAAAATGGAAGAGGTTTGGAAAAAATTGAATTCACAATTTGAAAATTTATCGCTAAACATTCGAATTCATCGTAATGATTTGAAATTAATGTGCCAAAATGAAATATCTACAAATAAAGTGATTAAAGCATTTGCATATCTTCTCAAAAATCGTTTGAGTTTAATATTGAATTCATTAAAAGAATTGAAACCATTACGTCAAAACGACATCATTGATACAAAGTAAGTTGATCATTTTTTTTTTAAAAAAATTGTTTTTACCATTTATTTGGTTCACCAACTATATTTAGGATTGATCCTGATTTTACTATGGAATTTCCCGAATTAGAATTACTGAAACTATCAAATCGAACTAATATTGACTTTAAGTCGCTCACGTTAATTGATGAAAACATTATTAAAGATTTACAAACAATTGATAATGAAATGAAAAATATTGATCAATCTACGCATAAATTTGAATCTGATATTATTAAAATGAACGATGAAATCAAATTACTTGAAGATGAATTAAAAGAACTTGATGAACGGAAAATTATTGAAGAAAAATTGACTGAATTGATCCAAAAACATAGTAAAGATTTAAAAAATTTAAAAATCAACTTTCATACTTTACCATTGATGAAAAATTTGGAAATTCTTCAGAAAAAACGTAATGAATTTTCAACAAATAATGATTCGAATGATCGATTTGATGATCTTATAAGATTTATCGAACAATTTGAGGTAGGTCAAATTGAATTATTTGAAATTTCATTTTATTCTATTTGAAATCATTATAGAATGATGCAATGGCCAATATTGATGAAAATATGGAACCAATCACCAATATCATTGAACAACTCGATAAATCAATTAATGAAAAAATGAATATGGAATCAGCAAAACATCAATCGATTGAAAAAGAATCACAGCAAAATAATTCAAATAAAACTGATGAAATTGGTGAAATTAATGAAAATCAAGTTGTTGATGATCAACGGAAAAAGACCCGATCAAAGGCACAGGAAACAAAAACAAAACGACCAAGGCAAAAGGACCAGAAGAAAAAAGATGAAAATCAAGTTATTGAAGAACCAAGAATGACTCGATCGAGAGCACGACAAATCATGACAGAACAATCACCAAAACAACCAAAACGGATGCCATCGAAACGAGGAAAAAAGAATTAATCTATTTTTTATTTTATTTTCAACTTTGTTTTACTAGCTCATCAATGTTATCGATTTTATTGTTTGAAAATCTTGATTGAAAATTTTAAATTTGTTGGTTTTTTTCAATTTTCATTTCATAAATTATTCATGAATAACAACAACGGTGTTGATTTTTTTAAAAACTTTTTTTCAAAATTCAAACACATGGAATAAAGAACTGTTATTTATTCATTTAACATTTGGGAACAAATGAGAGAAAAAGATGGAAATAATAATAATAATGAGATTTAAAATTGATTAGATCAAAGATCAGCACCATCATCATTAATTTAAAAAGCAGCACATTTACGATCACCAATCGTAGTGATTATTGAACGGTTATTGTTCCAATGAATTGTTTGATTGATTGATATAAAGAAAAATCGAAAGAAACGAAGACATCATTCGATTAGATTATAAATGATCGAATTCAATTGGATCGATCGATTTCAATATTATAATTAATATAATAAATTAACACAGACAATAGAGACAAAGAGCGAGTAAGAGAAAGAAAAAGAAAATCAAATCAAATCAAATTCATGAAAATCATGTAAAAAATAAAATGTGTAATAGGCTTATGCGTGGGTGTGTGTGTGTTTGTGTATCCATATCAGTCTTAAAAGCATAAAAAATAAAAGAAAATTTGTACTTGTATTTCTATCTCTTTGTGTGGTGGTAAATAATAATTGTTTGATTTGATAATCAACGGATAGAATTCAGAATTCAGTTTAAAAACAATAAAATTGAAATATTTTTGCCGTCATGTAGAGGAAAAAAAATGAATAAAATTCTTGATGAGAAAAAAAATTTAAAAAAAAAATCTTGAATCATGCAAACACAAATTCTATTGAAATATTAGTGTAATGATTTCATTTTTTGTTTTGTTTTGTTTCATGTTGTTGAATGGAAAGGAATCTTGATCTTGTTAGTGATGTGTGTGTGTGTGTGTGTACTTTTTGTATATCATATCAACGATAATCAATTCATGATAATATAGTGATGATGATAATGATGATGATGACCTAAAGAATTGATGTATGAATCGAGAAAAGGAAACAAGAGCCAAATTTGAATTTTTTTTTTGTGAATATTTTCATCTTGTTTATATTATTAGAAACCATTAGCAGCAGCAGCAGCTTCTGAATCCTGTTGTTGTTGTTGTTGTTCGGTTTGTGAATGATGATTAATAACATTACCATTTGTTTTAGAAATGGAATATGCCAATAAATTATCATCATAATGTCCATTTGTATGGCCATTGGTTTTTGTATTATTATTATCACTATTATTATTATTATTATTATTATTACTGCCATTTAGGATTGGTTTCAATGATGATGTTGTTGTTTCAAGGCTTGAATCCGATGATTGTGTTTGACCATGACCATGTTGTGATTCAATCGATGATCCTGTTGCCGATGTTGAATCATCGTTTTCATTATTTTTATTATTATTATTATTATTGATTGGACTTTTGCTTCCAGAATCATCTTTACGTGTTCGTCCTTTTAGAATCTCTTGAATTCTCTATTGTTTTTAGTGGTTTGAAAAAGAAATGGAAATTATATTCAATTCATCGACAATAATCAATCAACAATTATTACCGATTTACGTTTCATCCGTTCCATTTCATGTTGTTTAAGCATTTCATTTTGTCTTTCTTCAATTTTTTCTGGTGTTAATATTGTATTTGTTGTTGATAATATTTGCTGTTGTGGCTGTTGTGCCATACCAGCCGGTGATGTAGAATGCATCAATGATGAATCAAACGATGTTGTCATAATATTAGGCTGTAATAGATTTTTATCAATGGCACCACCGGTTTGAATCACCGAATCATCACAAGTTTTCATTGATGGTGATTCTTCTTCGTGGAAAAAAATAGATCAAACGAGAAAATGATTAGATGAATAGATATTTTTGCCAAAATACTAACCTTTGATTGACATTTGTTTGACTGATTGTTCCAATTCAGAAATCGATCGATCTGTATTGGATGAAATATCAATCAACAATGATTGTGGTTCATCACCATCGATTTTTGGTCCTTGTTGTTGAACCATTGTCGTTGTTGTATCAATAGAAGTGTCTTGATCTAATGAAGACGAATCACTTGAAGACGACGACGACGATGATGACGATGAAGACGAAGTTGATGATGATATATTGGTTTCTTCTTTTGATTTATTATCAACAGATTTTTCTGGTATAATAACCGCGGGAACTACTGAAGCTGCCTGATTTGGTAGTTGTTGTTGTTGTTGTTTTTCTGCAGCAATTTCATCAGCCAACGATCGATTTTCAATGCTTGGTGACGATTGTGGACTTGATGTTGCTGCTGATGATATAATCGTCGATCGTGGACGACGTGTTACAACAGCCGGTTTATTGCTGCCACTATGTGCATCCATTTTAGTTTTATCATCATTCGAATCACTTTTTCCATCGGTGGCTGTCATATCATTTGATGATTTTGTCATTGATTTTGTTAATTGATTCAATTTTTGTTCCTGCATCTTTCGATATTGAGCACGCTTTTCAGCTAATTGTTTTTTATATTCAGCCAATTTATCATCATTTTCGTCTTTTGATTCATTACCTCCACTTGTCAATGGAGATTCAAATACAGGCGACGAAGAATCTATGTAAAACAAAAATGATTTAAAATTTTCAACTTTTCAACAACAAAAAAAAATCCATATTTAACATACCTAATTTCATCGTGTCAATTTGTTGACTTAGAGGACGTGGTTTCTTATTTGATCGTGTCGTTGCTGATGCTGAATCTTTACCTGCCGATGACGATCCTTTTGATGTACTTTTAGCACTACCACTCAAATTCGACGATGATGATGATGTGGTAAATGTTTTCGGTGGTGGCGTTGGTTTTGAACTGCTACCAGCTGAAGTTGTTGATCTATTATTTGTCGAAGTGGGAGTTGTTGATCTAGCACCACCACTTTCGGAAGCTTTACCTTTGACAAATGAAGTTGACATTGGAACTAAAATGAATGAATTCAATAAATTAATTAAATGAATTATTAACTACCTCTAGGTTGGACACGTTTTCTTGGTTGTGCCAATTGATCAAGCCGATTCATGCTATAGGATTTTTTGGGCCGACTACCTAAAGCACTACTGCCGCCCGTAACACCTGTCATTGGATGTTTTGATTGAAAAGATTTTGTCGATGTCATCGAACATGTCATGATGCTATTCTCTTTACGGAATCCTCCCCACGATGTTCCAGATGATGATGGTGAACCATATTCACGGAATAAATATTTTTGTTTTGCCGGAATCAATTCCGGATCATGACGTCGTGCAGCACGCATAAATGAACTTGCACTAAACAATGGTGCCTGTAATGATTGTTGTTGTTTGGCCATAATGACCGGTTCTATTGTAGCTACTGGTTGTGTTGGCTGCATTGGAGCGAGACAATGAGGCGTCATATCGACAGCTGCTACAGTAGCCGTAACTCGTTTCGAGTGATAATTACTATCATCTTTTGCATACATTGCTGACGAATCTTTTTGTGTGATTCCATGGCCACCACTAGATGTCGTAGCCATAGTCGTTGATGATGATAATTCGAATGAAGGTCCAGATGGAAATATTTCAGATTTAGGCCTTGCCGGTAATGGTGTAACTAATGGACGTGTAAGATCAATATTTCTTGGTTGTGTACTACCAAATGCTACTGATGAATTTGTACTATGTCCAGGTATAAATGGCTGTTCATTAAAACCACCACCACCACGTGTGGATGAACCAAATGAAGCTGATGTAGTCATACGAGTTGGTATAAAATCATTTCCACCACCACCACCATGTATAATATTTCTCATTGAACTTTGTTCTAATTGACGTTGAGCTCTTTCCTATATTATTTAATTTAATCATAATCAATTTTATAATTACAAAAATGAATTTCAAAATACAGTAATACTACGCTACGCAAGGGTTACGTTTCAAAAAAAAAAATTTTGGGCGCAAAGCGAAACAATCTACGGTTTTTTAGCAAGAATTTTCGCATTAAATTGGAAAAAATATCGCTAATCGAGGCGTTAAGCATGATATATAAATGTACATACTCTACGGGCATCATCAATCTGTGCACGACGTTCAGCAGCACTTTGTAATCGTTGATTTACATTCGATCGATTCTAATTATAATAATAATAAAATGATGATGATGATGATGATAAAATTGTTTCATATTTCCACATTATTAATTTATTAAACTTTAAAAAATAAATAAAACTACAACAAACCTCCATGTTTGTAGCTAATCGAAAACGATGATTCGTCTGTTGTTGTTGAAAACGTGTTGATAGATTTTCTATATGATGAAAACAAAAACGAAAAAAAAAAATTTTTTTGAATTCAAATCTATAGAAAACGACAAACACACAATTGATGATTGTATGTCATGGGAATCTATTTGAAAATTTGTTTGTGCATCCAGTGAACAGAAACAGAAATAAAAATAAAAATCAACAACAATAATAACCATAATAATAATCATCATAAAAAAATAACAAAAGAAAATTCAAGCAAAGCTAAAGCAAAGCAAACACAAAAAAAACTAAAAACTAAAAAAAACAAAATTAAAATGATGTCATCATCGAAAAAAAAATCAGGAAGAAAAAACCAAAGAGAGAAAAAAAATATTGAATAAAATCAACACAGGAAAATAAAAGCGAAAATGATTGATCTCGACACACACACAACCCGGACGCTAACCCGAACATGATGATGAATTACGAAGATTTGATTGTGGATGACATTTTGCCATTTGAACCGTCGTCATCGTCGCCGTCGTTGTTGATGATGATGATGGTGGTGTTGTTGGCTGACTAATTCGTACCTGTTTAACATTATTATTAGAATCAAGTGATTGTTTTCGACGTAAATTCGATCGCATTTGTACAACAATATTTGGTTTTCGTTTAATAGGTTTTACATTAATAGCTAAATCTTCGATTGTAACATCACTTTGGCTATCATCATTAACTGAATATGGTAGACTATCTGTACCAGCATATGATCCACAAGATGATGATATCGGATGTGTATCCATATCTTTATTCGAGTTTACATTTGAACGACTCATACGAAACATGTCCATGAATTTACTATGATCAAATTGTTGCTGTTGCTGCTGAGGCTGCTGTTGCTGTGTTTCATTAACATTTATCAAACATTCTTTTTGTTGTTGATTATTCCATTCCAAATAATCTAAATAAAATGGACTGATTGGATCCAATTTTTTATCCACTTCTAAACTGGTAACAAAACATCGTTCATTTGATTTATTTGGAATTTTTGATGATTTCATCATTGATTGTTTACCACCACCAACATTTGATGATGATGATGATGTTGACGCAATCGGATATGAACGTAAACTTTGCTGAAAGGATTTCATATCAGTAGGCTGTAATGCTGATGATGATGATGATGGTGAATATCGTGGCATCATCATCGTCATTTTTGTTTTTGAATTTTGTTGTTGTTGCTGATTCTGCGCAGGTTTTGGTGACATTTGTCTATGATGATGAGCAGCAGCAGCAGCAGCAATAACAGAAGGTGAAATTATTGTAGGTGCATTACGCCATAATGGTGCCGGTGAAATAATACCACCATCATCAACATCATTACAATTGTGATTATTATTAACTCGACGACAAACATTAGATTCGGTTGTTTGATTTGTAGGGCTATAAATTATATTGTAACGATTCTCATTCATTGTTTGTTTGTTTGTTTGTTTGTTTACTACAACAATCAACAATTTTTTTTTCAGTGGATTTTTTTTTAAATTGATTGATTTTGAACAAATTATATTCAAGTTTAAGCAAATATAAAGATTGATAAAGCATCGAAAAGAAAAAGGAAGACAGAATACAGGAAGAAAAAAAAGAGAGAGAGAAAGAGAGAGAAATTTAGTTTCTTTTTATCGGTTAATATTAAATAAATATATTGGGAAAACAAAATAAGCAAGATAAGCAAGTGATTGATTGATTAATTGATTGATTAAATGCAAATCAATAATAAAAGCAATATAATTGACGCACAAGCACAAAAACAAACAAAATGCTAAATCTGTAAAAGTTGATGGAAATTTTTTTTCGTTTCATTAACGTTTCATTAATTGAATAAACAACAATAGCAACAAAAAAAAAAAAAAACACGTGGCAACGCGTGCTTTTCATTTCATTTAACCATAAATATCAATTATTCAAACACACACACAAAAAGAGCGAAAGTTGTCGTTGTTGTTGTTGTTGAAAAAATTAAAAGTATGAATATAAAAAATGAAAATAATCATAATTACCTTTAACGTTGTGTGATGTAAAAAGTGATTTGAATTTTTGAAAAAAAATTTAATTTGAATGTTGATGATGATGATCAGTCACTAAATCAGTCAGTCAATGTTAATGTGTGTATGTGTGGGTGTGATGATGATGATGATGATAATGATAATGATAATGGTAATGCGGTCAAATAGTAACTTTCATCACCATCGCATGAGCATCAGCAGCATAAACATCACCTTTATGGGAATTTTCACTATATTTTTTTTTCTTGTCGTCATTCACTATTATTATATCACATGTTTATCCGATTATTTATCGGTTAAACAAGATAACAATAGGTGTGTGTGTGTGTGTGTGTGTGCGACAAAATGGTCAAAATCAAATGACTATATGGAAAAAAAATGTAAAGAAAAAAAAATTTAAATCCAAATCAGTAATATAACGATATACAACGACGTTGATGAAAATAATGTTCAAATTTGGAAGAAAAAAAAACGTTTTCCACATACACAAACACAACACACACTGGGAGAAAATGAATATTTAAATGAAAAGAAGAAGAAGTAGAAGAAAAAAAATAATTCAGAAATTCAGGTCATCAACAACAACAAATTTATGTCCAAATTGGATTTAGAATTTTTTTTTTTTAGTCAAAGAAAATGAAAATGCATCATGATCCAGGAAAAATGATGATGAAGATGATGAAGATGATGATGACTAGTCAGTGTATGGATTATAGTGGTCGTGTCTCCCTGTGGCTGCTGCTGGTTTCATCAAATATTCAATATTATAATATGACCATGATAAAATGAAAATCTAATGAAATAAAAAAAAAGAAACAAAAAAAGTTGCAAATTCAATATATTTTCATCAATTATTATTCAATAAATCAAACGCGTGCAATTAATAAATTATTAAATCATGATGATCATGATGATCATAATCATCGTCGTCATCATTGTAAATATATTTTTTTTTTTGATGAAATAACGAAAGTAAAAATAAAACAAAAAAAAAAAAATATCAACGGTCATCATTTGAATATCTATATATATTCGGGTCAAACACACACACACACACATACTTGGAAATGGCAAAACATTATCATTTGACTATCCATCCATCCATCTATCTATCTATCTGTATATGGCTATTCTTGATATTCAACAAAAAAAAATCATCTTCTTCATCATCATCATCAACATGTCATGTTGTTAATTTTTTTTTTCATATAAATATCATGTATATTTTTATATGGAAAAAAAACATCATCATCATCATCATCAACGAATATTACAAAGAACAACAACAACAACAACAACAACGGAAAAAAACAATCGATAAACAGGCTAGAAACAAACTATTTGACGATTTGAATCCATATATACCATTCAAATGTGAATGGTAAAATAGTTGATAAAATACCATTATCGATTAAGCAAAGCAAAGCAAAGAAAAAAAAGATGAAATAAAATAATGGAATTTCATAATCATCAGAAAAAAAAACTTGATAGAAATAAAAACATATATATATAAACACACACACAGAGAGAGAGAAAGATCAGGCAAATCAATAATGATTGAACATCAATTTTTTTTTGATTTCTACAACATTTTCTGAACAACAACAACAGCAACAACAACAATAATAAAACACATCAGAAATGAAAAAAAAGAACTAATAGCAGCCACAACAACAACAACAACAACAACAACAAGTAGTAGTATGAAAAGAATTGTATTGAATTGATGATGATGACGAAAATAGATTCAATATATACTTCGAAGTCTCTTGTTTGTCTGTTGTTATCGTTCGTTTGTAATATTTTTTTTTTTGTCTTTGATGACTATGCGAGATTTTTTTTTCTGAATGAATCCCGTTATTATTATCAATAGCCATATAAAAACAGCAACAACAAAAAAAAGGATGACACACACACTCACACACAGATTACATATATATATATACGAAAATGAAATTGTTTCGAAAATTCATAAACAAAACAAAATGACAATGTAAGACAACAACAACAACAACAACAGAATGGTTGTATATATTATATACATATGATTTGTGATGATATGTTATATTTCATTATGATGTTGATGATGATGAGAAACCTAGAAACAAACCGTATGTTTTTGTTGTTGTGTGAGTGTATAACAGTGATATAATGATGATGATGATGATACAGTTTTTATTACCACCAACATTATTATTATGTGAAAAAGAAAACTAGATCACCGTCATCATCTTAAATTGCATTTTTTTTTATATATTTCATATCAGGGTATTTATAAGAAAAAAAAATACTTGAGCAAATCTTTCATTTTCTCAAATTATATTGATTGTTGATGATGGTCGAAAAGAAAAAAAAAATAGAAATTTGATTTTGACCATTATTGTGTCATTAATTTTTTTTTTTTTTTTGGTTTTGGTTTTGACTTTCAATATTGATTTGATTTTTTTTTCTTTATTTTTCGTCATTGTTTCATCATTAATGTGTCTGTATGCTGATGTCTAGAATGATGATGATGATGATAATGGTACTAACGACAACAACAACAACCACACCAACAGGTAGCATTCAAACATCAGCAAAAAAAATTATACCTGTATAATGGCCTTAAAAATGTGGCCATACATCATTCATGATGATGATGATGATGATAATGATTGTTGTCGTTGTTGTTGTTTAGTAGGTTAACATCGATCGACAACATGAACAGAACGAAAAAAAAATAATGCATATAAATCTTCATCACTACCGATTCATCTACCATCAATCATCAATTCAAAACACACAATTTTATATAGACATAAATAAATTATTATTATTATTATTCAGGTAGCGTTAAAATAGACGAAAAAAAACGAATTCTGTGATTCAAAATAATAAAAAAATAATGATGATGATGAAGGTTAAATCAAATTGTTTATTATCATCTATATATATATATATATATATATATATATGACCTGATTGATTGAAATTAATCGATTCGTTTCGAATCATTGATTATCAATTATATATATATTCAATTCAATTCAATTGATAATGATGATGAATGAAAATCAAATCATTCATTCATTTGTTTTCCTCTTAAACCGGATAATGATGATGATGATGATAAAATTGCCAAAATGAACTAGCAAAAAAAAAAAAACAGAAATGAAATCAATCGATTCTGTCTATGGTTTTACATTTCAAAATCAATCAATCACGATGAGAGTGAATGAAGGAAAAGAAAAAAAAATCACCTGTTCACATACACACACACACACACACCCACACACAAAAAAAACATAAAATAAAATTCCATCAACCCATTATGGTCATCAAAAATCAAAAAATCAAAAATCAAAAAAAAAATCCAACATCACCTGGCAGATAACAACATTTGTTGATTATTAAAACACTAAATTAAAACCGAATAAAAAATGGGACGTATAACCATCATTAATTACTAGTTTTATGTATGAAATAATAATAATAAAAAAAATTTGTAATTCAAATCACTCAAAGAGTATAAAAAAAGGGGTGCCCACCATTTTACAAACAAACAAATAAACAAAACACAATAACACCTTGGATCATCATCATCATCATCGGATACCTGGTGATTATGATTTAGATTTTCTGTTTTCTTTTTGAGAAAGAAAATTTTCATTCAATTTTTTTCTTCTTTTTTTATCAGAATAAAAAAAAAATGGTCATCATCATCATCGTCATTAAATTATTAACACACACACACACACACACACACAAAAACATTTTCATTTCATTACAACAATTCAAATTTCGAGGTCATTTTTTCATCATCTTTTTCTTGTTTCGTTGTAATGTCTATATTGCATATGTATGAAAATTTTTTTTTATATACAAATGATGATGATGAACCACCGCTTTTTTTAATGATGATGATGATTATTATTAAATGCAACACACACACACACACAAACAATGTACAGATTCATTCAATTTTTTTTTTGATTATTGAAAATCGATTTTCTCAATGACCATCTCTCTCTCTGTCTGTTTAGTTGTGTCTTTGTATTTAACATTAATGTACGGTTAGAGTACAATCATGATGATTGAAACAAAAAAAAAAACAGAAAAAACGTATAGAAAACCCTCTTTCGTTTTGGCTCATTTTTATATGCAACATAAAGAATGACAAATAAAAAACGCGTGATTCAAACACACACACACACACACATATACACACAATTGAATTGGATCCAAATGTTGATACTTTATGTTGTACACGTGTTATATTAATGTAGACTAAACGACGTATGGTGAAAGAAAAACAAAAATCATTGATGACAAAATATATTTTCAATTACAAAGTTCACGACAAAACATTCAAAAAAAAAAAAAAATGAAATCAAATCAAATCAAATCAACCAAATTAGTGTTTGATGATGATGATGATAAG